ATTTTTCCCCATTCAGTAGGATGTGGCTATGGTCTGTCATATATGCTTGTATCATTTTTAGGTATGTCCTTCTATGCCTATTTTCTTGAGTGTTCGTATCATGAAAGGGTGTTGAATTTTGTCAAAAGCTTTTTCTGATCTATTGAGAGAATCATGTGTCTTTGTTTTTGCTTCTGTTTATGTGGGTGAATTGCATTTATAGATTTACGTATGTTGAACCATCCCTGCATCCCTGGGATGTACCCCACTTGGTCGTGCTGGATTTAAAACCAACGAAGCCCTTACCCCTCTCCCCGTGCGTGTATACCCCCCCGCCTTGCGTACACCACTGAGTAACTTCTTGTAAGGGCTGGTCTTGTCTGGTGAATCTCTGAGCCTTTGCTTGTCTGAGAATGTTTTATTTCTCCTTCATATACGAAGCTTATTTTGCAGGAATAATATTCTAGGCTGGCATTGTTTTGTGTCAAACCGAGCGAGAGGAACGCCGACCGGGCCCCGGAAGTCGTCGTCCTCAACTACTACAAACAGTGCGCACTGCTCACAAGAGCCGGACACTGGTGTTGAGACGGAAAAACTGCGCGTCGCACACGATAGTATCCGGCATCGTTTAACGGCAGCGGGATTCGCTGTCTCTATTCCTCTCTGATCACGATACGAACACGCCACACCCTCCTCTCTTAGGATACGGCAAGCACCATACTTCTTCTTCTGGATCAGCTGTGATGTTTCGACAGCTGAAAAGCCACCGCGTGCACCCTTCCGCGAGATATATCGCCATGTGAATCTCCCGCAAGGGGAATCCTCCTGATGCTTCTCTTGATACTTTGTATATTTGCGAGGAGGCGAATTTCCTTGAAGCTGGCCCAATTTCCTGGGCTATAGACTGACCGGCGGGTCACGAGACCCGCCGTGGGGCCGAAGGCCTAATCTGACCACTCCTATCTTCCTTCCCCACTTCTGGTAAGCCCTATGACCCTCAACATTAGTTCTCTTCACATAATCCCAAACAGCTCAGCTTTGCCTCTTTTCTCCTTCGTTTCTGCTTAAGCTTTCCTGTGGACCCGTCCGATTTATTTAATTGGCAGGCGCTGTGGCGTCACTCCCCAAATTGCCTCGAGCCGACTTACCTCTGTTCTGTGCCTGATCTACACCCACTTGTTCCTTGAGACTTTCCACCTGTATTTTGTTAGTTCCTTGAATTGATTTCTTCAATTTTTCGATGGAGGGTGGTCTCGCAGCCACAGGGCCTTCCTACTACCTCATGTGTCTATTTGCTTTGCCCAATAAGCTCCTGGGAGGCTTTATCTTGTGTTGGTTTCTAATGATGTTGGTTATTGATTTTTGCAGCCTGGGTGAGTGTTCATTCAAATTATCCATCAGGTAGCCAATTCCTCTTCTATATCTGTCACGAGACATGCACAACCCACAGATCACAAGAACCGAAAAGGATCGCTTCATGCGTGGTTAATCTGGCATGACACGGGAGGGGAGGGTCGTATAAGACGCGGCTGGTGTTGTGAGCAGTCTGAGAGGGTGTGAGTGGTGCGTAGTGTGCAGAAAAGGCCCAGGATGTCTTGTTCATAAATATTATCCTGAGTTCTTGCAATGAGTGATCTTTCACAGATGGATCCATCACTTGTAGATGACTCTTCGTTTCATCTTCATGGTATTTGTTTGGTATTCTTCAACACACCGTGCGGTGGGTTCCTAGGGTCTCCGACGGTGAAATAGTTGGACTCCTGTGTATATGGGCGAACCGAGTCTAAGAGGGTGACGTGGAAGAGGCGGTTGCAAATTCGCGGCCGTCCCGTGATCCAGCACCACGCACGGCGTTTGCTTGGAGGAAACCTAGGCTAACGCTGTTGATTTTTGACGCTCCTGTTAATTCCAGCTCCTATTGATCTGGCGGAGCTGGGTTGGTAAAATTGCCTCCCTCAGGCCAGTTAGCAGGGTCAAAAAAGTTCCTTCTCTGTTCCAGGAAAGTGTAGGCGGGCTGAATGGTCGCTTCCCAGAAGTCTGGGTGTGGGGGTGGGGCTGTTCTGAGAACCCCGCAGTCCTGGAGGCGGGCCTCGCTTCTTTCCAACTCCCTCCCCCAACCTCCACCAGCTAACTCCTGGTGCCTTACTGAAGCAGGCCAAGACCAACAAGCCCACCCAGGCCTCCCCAGACTGTGAATGCCGGCGGGGAGGTTCTTCGCGGTGCACAGGAACGCCACCTGGGTGGGCACACGG